TCCTCACAAGATACAACCCAATACCTCAAACTGGTTTAGAATAAACAGTGTATTTAAATCATGGCAAAACCCTTTGCATCCTTGCTAATCTGAATGAGTTGCAGTGCTGTGGCCCAGGTCAATTTGAATTCACTTAGATGGCACGGGAATTCTTGGATAGTTGTACATGGTATTAGATCAAACACCCCAGAAAACAAAGTACATGGCCAGATAGGAAGAGCACCCAGAGTTCTGCTCATGTTTTTCCTTCTGGTACACCTATCTGTCTGTAGGTACACCTACAGACAGAATACAGACAATATTCTGTCTGTAACAGTTTTCCACATACTAATTCTTGATTTCAAAGAAATTGGATAAACTCCTAATATAAAATTATATCTGTAATCCCTGCTATCTGTGATGTCTGATCTCCTGCTCATTTTTAGTATGATAGGTCTAAAAGAATTCACTTGTTGTAATTTAAAAAGAAAAATTACAAAGTCCTTACTTCAAGTAAGGAAAAAATCTCCAGCAGTTCATGCACTGGGTGTCTCAACATTCTTCCTGTTTGAATTACACTAGTAAAAGCTTTTCCCCTCAAAATGAACCTCAGTAAATATGTTGGCCAACAGTCAGACCCACTGCCATATGTGAATTAAATGCAGAACAGTCTGAGTGAAAGCAACACTGATGTCAAAGCAGCACCACCCCTGAGCAAGCGGCTTTGAGGAGGTCGGCTTAGAAAGTTTCCAGTAGAACACCATTCCAACAGAAAGTGCTGACTTGATGAAACCCAAAATATTCCACAGGAATGTGCTAATTCAATCAAAACTTTTGAAAGAGGACAGGCTGGCTCGCCAAGCCAGCCAACCACTCTAGTGAGCTGACTGGCTCTCCCCAGCTCTCTGGGGTCACTGGCTTCCCCATCTGGCCAGGTGCCAGGTTGCTAGTCCCTGCTCTCAGAGGGGCCCTTTAATAATAACAAAAATAATATTGTCTTGCAAAGTGTTCTGAGAAACAAACAAAGGAATTTTAAAATGAAAATCAGAATTATTTCAGAACGAACTGCAAGGTTTCTTCAGAAGGAATTGGGTTCATTTGTTGCAAAGCATCTAAAAATGATGCCTCTAAAGTCACAAGTCTCTCATGCACCTTCTCAATTTTTTATAGAACACTTTCCAATGAAAAAAGAATCAATACTGTAACAACACAAAATGCACAACAATTATATCCAAAACCTAAACTTCACCAGATAGCTCTAATCATCAACAAGGAATCAAAGGCTTGTTGCTTCCAAAGCACTGAGTAAATTCACATAAATGCTCCAGCCCAACCAAAACATGGGGTTACACTGTAAGCAACACCTTCTGCAGAGTAGTCCTGAAGTGGGCTCCCTGAGTAACTCACCATGGCAAATTTGAACAAGGTGGTGCAAGGGGCCTCCTTTAACGCTTTGGAGAAGCTCAAAGAAATAGGTATGGCTACAGAATATTTTAGTAGTGTTTTTTAAAAACCCCTGTCAACTAGCAAGTAACCCACTTTCTTCATAAAAGTGGTTAACCAGTGCATAGGACCTACTCTAGTTTCCCAGCAACTCAGCAAGTAACAGTATTTTCTAACTGTTAAGAAAAGGAAGACTCTTTAAGACAGTATCACCAAACAGTACAATGTTTTTTGCACAATACCGTTGATTTAACCAGCTTTTGTATAAAAATTCCTAGATATTGGTTCATATGTGAGCACCACAAGTAGTTTAAAGAGATGTGGAACAAAGTTCTACAGAAAAAAGAAAGAGCTCTTTTTACATGCCAAATTGAGTCAGCAATGAGATCTCTGTTGCAGGCAAGTCATGTGATTTTGAAAGAAAAAAGCTAAATAAAATGTACCGATTTATTTATATGAAAATCAGTGTAACTTCCAGCATAGAACTGGGACAATTTTGTGACCACTCTCTTTCAGAAAACACATGTAAATCAGACAGCTGCCCGAGTTTGCAGTTCACTGACCCTTTCAACTGCCAAATGCAGTGCACAAAGGTAGCTCAGAAAGCAATTAGAGATTGGCTGGGAGGACTCATTAATTTTTTAAAACTTCAAATCACAACTAAACAGTCTTATAACATTTTTCTGAGGGAGACTATATGCCTTAGACTCATATTTAAAAAGAAGGAAGATTTGTCTTCTCAGAATGACAAAATGCATAGAATTTGCTCCCTGGTGTTTCTTAGAAAGAACAACTAATACATTTACAGTATCATATGGAGACACAACTAGAACAGAACTAGACGTAAGTACAGTTCGATCCAACTGCTCAGTTTCTAAATATCTCAACATCTGCAGAGTCTAAGGCTCCCTTCAATGTGCAACACAAAACTCAGAGACAAAAGAAAGTGAGGTGGAAAAAAGGAAAGAAAAAAAAAAGATATTTTTCCTGCTAGTGGTAACAGGACTGGGAATGATCAGTGACCAACACAATCAAATGGTGCCTAGTTGGCTTTAGTTGAGTATGTATGGCACAAGGCCAAGAAAACAATGAGAAAGTAAAGTATAAAGAAATGCCTTCCATTTTGGAAGAGGGTATCAAAAGTTGAGCAGTATCTTTTCTTCTCTCAAACAAAACTTGAGATGCCCTCCTTATGGCCTATGACAAAAAGGCAGATTCATCACTAATCTCACCATGGCAAACAGCAAAATAGACAAGCAGAAAAAGCATGTATGTAGTTCTGCTCCTGAAATCACGGCAGCATTACGTTACCAATCTGCTAGTTAATTTGCTTTTATTATCCTGATTAAAGGGACCACAACCATACTACAAAGTAGCAACTGAGCACTGCACAACCCTGAAGCCATACTCTTGTTTTCTTTGTGTTGCAGTAATCCGAATAGCCAGCTATAGGCTATAATTTAAGATTTAGGTCATGAGTCCAGGAGCTAACTAACTGGAGTCACAAGGATCAATGCACACTTCTATTAAGTGTTTATGAGAATGAGACCATACTTCTAAGTAAGTGTCTCTCTCAAACCTGCCTACCTAATTTAGCAGTTTTCTTCTTCCGAGTTTATATAACCATTTCCTAGAATGAGTTTCTGAGGCTCAGTGTACAGCAGACACACTCCTAAATTGAGAAATGACATGTTGCTGGTAATAACTGCACAGAGTTAACAAGATGGCCCAAAGGAGCTCCAACCAGTAGTGTGCCAGTTGAGAGCAACAGTTCAGGAACGAAAAAAAGAGCCTGAACACAAGGCACTGCTGTGATACAAACACACACCATAAACCATACTGAAAGAGTACCTTACGTAATTGCTGTATCTTTCAACAAAAGTCAGTCAGTTGAGTGCACTCATATGTACATGTAGAAAGCAGCAGGGGTAAAGGATTTCAGTCAGTCAACTCATAATTTGTGCACATTCCATCAGCTGGATTACTGCCAGTGCTTGTTCTCTGCCAGTCTGCCTCCTCCTACTCCACCCTAACTGATTCCAAGAGTATTATCCACCTTGACTGGGGTGACTAACCTGCTTCTCTTCTCTCCAACGTCCAACATCCCCCAGTGCACAACTTATCTTGAATAACGCTCAGTACAAAATTTAAAAAGGAAAAACAAAGAGAAAAAAAAGCCCTCGCTGTTAGATGAAGTCAACCTTCTCAAATATACATGTGGTAACAACAGGAAGAAAAAAGAAATATTTACTTTTCTCAAGTGCTGTGCTGTGAAATGGATTTCACAACTCTAAGCATATGATTTCAAATTATTTTTGCAATTATTGCTGTCTGGATAAAGAATAAGGTGGGTCCAACCATTCTTCAAGACTTGTTCCAATAAAGAAGTCCAGTACAGAGTACCATAACAGCAAGGTGCCTGGAGGGTCAAAGAGCCATAATACTGCAGGTTATTTATGCAATAAATAACTTATGTTGGAAGTGACCTCTGGAGGTCTTCTGGTCCAGCCCCTCACTCAAAGCACGACCAAGTTAGACTAAATTGCTTAGGGCCTTGCTCAGTTAATTTCTGATCATCTCCAAGGATGGAGGTTGCACAGCCTCTTCGAGCATCTGCTACTATGTTTGACCACCCTCATTATGTGACGTTTCTATTTTACATTGAATCGGATTTTTCCCTGATATAACTTGCAAGCATCAGCACCTCCAAAAAAACCTCCAGCTCCCTCTCTTCTACAATTCCTTTCTAATTGCATTCTGTTCTCACATCTGATGACTGGTGAGCAATAATCTCATTGAAGAGACACCGTAAGATTTTCTGGTAGCAGGGCAGCTCTGCCAAAGCAGGCGCTAGGATTTCAGTAAAATTTTGAAGTCCTAGTTTCCTGAAGCCTTTTTCTGTGCTCACCATAGAACTCAGTGTCAGCCTAAGCTACAGTGATAGAAAGGTTTGATCTCAGTGGCAGAAGTCCTGTTTGCCTTGCATCAAAAGTTGCCTAGAAGGAGAGCTTAGTAGTAGAGGAAAAACGGCTACTACAGGTGGTTCATTTGATATTGGCCAGTTTGATCAAAATAACAAAACCACATATATCTACCAGTCCTTATGAAGTATCACATATGCAATCAGCTGAAGAAGGAGGAAATTCTTTAGTTCCTTCAAGAAAGGGTCATTTTCTTGAATAATGTGCAAATGCACAGTGTGTCAAGTAACAGTCCTTAAGAAAGTCCCCAGGAGACTTGACTGACCCACCTCACTACTTGAGGTAATCACGAGAGGACATGTAAGCTACACATATCTCAAGTGGACACTAAATGCACACTGACCAATGGTCAAAAAATGGAATGCATACAATCAAATGAGAATAATTTTATATTCTCAGAACACAGTGCAAATTATATTGGCATGCAGTATAAAAAGACCAAGTTCTTAAGCATTAATTTGAAAAAACTACAAGCAAAAAAACATACCTAATTTCTGAGTTCACTAACTAGTTACCAGAGTATCTTATTATGCAAAGAATTATTATCACAGTAATGTTTAAAATTAATAAATAATTATCAGCTTACTTCTTTCTTACCATTGTAGGTTATCCTTGGTTTTGTCAAACACATCACAAGATGTAAATCCATTTCGTCAGAAGATACAAATTTTGAACATACAGGGCACTTGAATCCTATGGAAAATAAAAATATATAAGTGTGAGTACACTCAACCATGTAGCAAATACATGTATTCAAGTCAAAAAGTTATTCTGCACACATTAAAAGAAAGAAAAAAAAATCCTGGAAGCTTTTCAGCTTTGACCTGATATTTCTTACAGGAATATAATTCCCTTGATTTCAAAAGATCTCAAAATGGACCATTTTTTCCGGAAATTGTTCTGTTGCCAATTGCAAACATGTCAGCACCTCTGGAATGCAAACTTTCCTAACAACCCTAAGAACAGTTTAGGATAGGAGCAAGAGGATAATATGACTAGTAAAACAGACATTAGAAATGTGTAGAGGACACAGCCATGAAAATCTGAACTTGGGCAAGACCTCTGAATTAACATGTCTGTTTTTACCAGGAATTGCACTGAAACTTTAACCAAGGATCTCAGTTTTACATCTCATCATACAAGCAGCAGCATCTTTTACCAGGCTGGGGCACTGGAAAAACATTAACTCAGGGGTGTTGCCTCACTTACTGAATCACTAATATTTCCTGTAGCACTGATTTTGTTTGACTCTCTCATCCTAGCCAAGCATGACTTGTTGAGCTTTTGAGGTCACAGCCTCAGGCAACATGGGGTAAAGAATAACCAAGACAATCTGGATTGTGATGCAACTGCATAACAGTCTATGACAAAAGTGCTTAATACCTAAATTTATGTCATTGCCAAAGACAGCAGTCTTCCAGTTAAAGGACAAGATCAGCTGGACAAGATTTACAGTCCACAGAAAAGTCTGAGAAAAGCCTGATTGATTTTGATCTGCTGAATAATTAACACACAAGTGAGAGACAAAAAGCCACCAACAGGCGTCTTGATCCACAACAGTTGTTAAGGAGCATCCTTACAGGTAGGTTGTCCAATAGGACAACATCCGGCAAAAATATCTAATCTATGTCCACACTCAGTGCACAAGCACAACTTTTTCTCTCATGCTGTTGAAAATAACGATGCAAGCCTGTATAAAAGGCCACTGCACCTTCCAGCAACGTGCCCGTCTGGGCCTGCTCCCACATGTTTTAGTTTGTTGCCCTTTACTTCTGTACTTTTAACCTTGGGAGTCCACAGTGAACCGAGTCAGTCAAGGATGACAAGAAACTTGATGCTGCACTTTCAAGTTACTGATGCCTGAGAATTTTCATCTTTACTGTTAATTATTATGCAGCAACTAATCTGAAGCATTAGCACTTGATAGAAGTACTGCACTTCCTTTATCAAGACAATGATTTATTCCTTTAGTGCAGCTAATAGGAAGCAAGTCAAAGAGGACAGCTGGTCATAACCATAAGGAACTCAGGGCAGCAGCTGAACATGTACTGGAAGCCATTTCCTGAGGTAAAGTACAGCTCTGATTCCTCTCATTTTAGTCATAAGCCATTCATATCTATTTCTTCTTTGTGTCAATCTTACACTTCAGTTTAAATACTGCTCTTCTCTCAATATTTTTAATCCTCCACCCCCAACCCACATTTTTACAAACAATAGTTACAAACAGGTTAGTAAGCATACAACAGCCAAACACATCTTTTGGAAAAAAAAACAAACAAAAAATTTGAAAGGACTAATTTACTTTTAGAAAGCTTTATCTGTGACATTTCAGCCACTGTGTAGCCTCCTTCCCTGAGGATGCATCTCAACATGACTAAAATTGAAATTAGTATCTCAGTCTTCTGAACACCCAAACCTCCCATTACTGTTTTGTTATGGGTTTCCTCAAAAACTGACCACGGGTAAACTTTCTCTCCATCTTTATCAGCCTAATGCAGCTGATCACCAGGCTTTGACTAGACCTAAGTCCCATGCATTATTCTCATTTATAATTGACAACATAGTTTGATGTGAAAAAGCTGGTAACTTCCTTCTATGCTGCAGACAGAGTCCTGCTGTGACAGAAGGGAGTATTTGCATTAGAGCAAGTTAACATTTATGTTCATGGCTAGTTAAGCATGGAGACAGTCATTAACAGGTTCCCTCTGCTTTCTGGACAGAACTCTTCTAGTTTATTCCCAGGGTCATCAACACACGTAATTGGGAGTGACAGGGGGCAACGACAACCACCAACAGGTCCTTAGAACCACTGCTAAAGTTAACAGTGTTATTAAAAAAGAACATACATCCTGCATTCTATCAATATAGTAAATATTTTATCAATACATTATCTTGTGGTTTGTCCTGTGTCAAAGGGGGATCTGAAGGTAATGGTTAAACAACTACAAATATCCTCCTGACACAGCAAGTCTGGGATACCTGACTGCTGTAGCTCTACTCAGCATGTGGAACTGAAGTACCCAAAGAGTAGAGGACATCATACTTAACTAAGCCTTAAGGACAAATTAGCTGACAGGGGTAAAGGTATATTTGTGGAAAACATGTTTTTCCAGTGTCCAGAATCAGTTGCATGGCAAAGACTAGCATAATAGCAGAAAAAGAGCCTTGGGGTCACAAAACTTGCTGGAACATTTTTCAAATACAAGTAAAATCCGATTTCTCATTCTTTCACAGTGTTCTGCTGCAATAACCAGCTCCTGGATTTAGCCATCTTTCCTAAAAGATGTATAGTGTATGTTTTGTGTGAAGGAAATAAATATTTCTAACTCGCTTAGTAACCCCAAAGAACAGATTATTTTGACTGCAGAGACAATATTTACTTTATTTTAAACTGTATTTGAAAAATATAAATAAGTGAAAAATCAACACTGTCCACAAGCCAGTTAAAGGTTCTTAAAAAAAAAGCTGGTATTTTCCCACCTTTTCTCAAATCAGAAGGCAATAGTTTCACGACCCAGTTTATAATTAAGTACTTTGTAAGAACAAAGATTCTATTGTATCCTGCCCAGCAGGCTAACAACATTTATAGCCTATGTTTGTTACCATCAGTCTCACGGAACAATTCCAATAACTTAAAGAAAGTTTCACATGACTTTAACAATCAACAACAGGTCAGAAATAACTTGCACTCTACATGACTTGTTTTACTAGTTTTGTAGATAAACAATGCATGCACAGACATTTGGAAAACAAAGAGGAAGTAGTTATCAGATGAGGTACTATCACGTGAAGTGTCTTCTAAAAACTGTGGCACTTAACTACTTGCTCACCCTATTTACAAGGAGGGCACAAGAGATAACGCACAGTTCTAGGTAAATATCCATCTCTTATGAAGGTGTTGGTTTCACAGCATTCCTTATGAAACCCAAGATGACAAACTGTCACCTTTGTATTAGTGTTGTCACTGTCAGCATATCACTGCAAAGCTGTCCTTCCTTCTACCATAGTAGAGAACACGCCAGTGATACAAACTAAGTCAGTTGAAGAACTGCCTCTCACCTCATTCACTACATACAGAAGTACAGCAGGAAAGAACTGAGCACCAAAACTGAGCAAACACACACTTCTAGCTGACTTTTCCGACTGCATCCTCAACAGGCAGGGAACCAATTTCTTACAGGCTCCCAGCATCTAGTTTCACAACCCTGACTACAATATTGAAAGTAACACATTACTTAAAACAAAACCAAAATCCTGGAAAAAAGTACAGTTACAAGAAATGGAGACAGAACAGAAAGCTGCAGTACAGTTACTAGAAAATCCCAAGGTGGCACAGAAAGTTTGAAATAACTAAACCTGCCTAAGTATCAGGACTTATATCAGAGGTGAATTCTGTCTTCTCATTCTCTCTTGCATGCATCACTTTCTTGATAACATCACCGTCTTTTGCAAGTGAACCTCTAGTTAGCCCAGAAATCCCATTTTCTTTCACATTCATCTACCAAACCTATGATTTCCTTCTCTGGCAGGCTTGGAAACTATCCACATGGACAGGTCAATGGGTGGCCACTCACTCTATCCGTACCAGTTTCAACCTGTTAGTGATACCTTACTGTGTTTGCCATGCTTTGCAAACATCAGGCCGCTTAACTTCGTGGAGCAAACATAAAGCATCCAAATAACAAACTCCTGGACCTATAAATTTTTGCAAAATCATACTGGCACTTATTCTGGAATATCTAGTTTGTGGTGAAAAAAAAAAGAAGAGCTAAGAGCTTCCAGACAACACAGTGCAGTGTGTCACAGAATTGCACATGAAGGAAACATGTTAAAGCAGTATTAGACTTGCACAGAAGAATGGATGATTATTTCTGCCAATATGAAAGAGTTGTAGCAAGAAGTAAGCACAAATAAAACCTGCAACAACACAAAAGACTGAATCAGCCTGATCAGAGTAACCTTTCAGCAGAAAACATCAACTGGAACACTGCCAAAGCCAACCTAAAAGTATAATGAGAGCAGCTGCTCCTTTAAAATAATTATGCAATATATTAGTATTTTAAGTCTTTGTATCCTTTTGTTTTAAAATAAGATGGATAAATCTACTTTGTTTTGCATTTAAAGAAGTTATAAGAAAAGATAAATCCTTGCATCCACACACTTTTTCTAAGATCTATATCACAATAAAATGCCTGACAAATGTTACTTATATATTCACACTTCTTCTTTGGTACTTAGAAAAAGAGGTATAGACAATGTGGTAGCACAGCAACCAGTAAATATGACGGTATGAGAGTGGTATGCAAAATTACTGTCACACAAATAAAGCCTGCATAGTAATGCTAAAAGGAAACAACACAACACATTAAAAAAAAGTTCACTATTTCTTATGTGTTCAATAGACATGAAAAACAGGCAGCAACTGTGCTCAGTATAAAACACATGTTCACACCAGAAAGTGTGTGCCCTTCATCTTTTTCCCGTAGTCTGAAAAAAAACCAAGTTACTCTAATCTTTCCTCACAGGCCCTGATGTCTAAACCTTTTATTCCTCTTGTTGTCCTCTGGCCTCTCTCCAACCTTACTGTATTGCATTGCCAAGAACTGGGCAGAGCTCTCAGGCTAAGACTTCACAAGTCCTAAGCAGAAATTAATAGTTACCTATCATATCATTCCATTACACCTGGTGTTAGATAGCTATATAGACATCCATCTATACATAGAGATATCTCCTTTATGTGTGTGTATGAGGGTAGGTTGATTTTAAACAAATCAACAGGTGATTGGCTCATTCCTCTCATGTCCCACAACAACCCCTAAATCTTCAGCAGAACTGGTACTAGCCAAGTCCTGGGTTATATAGTGTTATATTTCTGCTTACCTTTAGTAATTCTCATTTGTCTTTTTTAATCAACTATGAACACTCTTCTAGCATGTTAAAAACAATGCTAGAATGCTAGCATGCTAAAAACAATGCTTCCACAAAAAAAAGTTGACTGAAAACAGACCCAAAGCAGACCACTGTGACACTTCATTCGAATTGCTCTCCTAGAGCAGCTGCAGGACTTTTTTCCCAACTGTTTCAGCATCCACCTACTTTTTCACCTAGACCATGTTCCCTAAGTTGCCTAATAAGAATATAAAGCAAAATAGCATAAACATTTTTTAAAAGGCAAAGTATAATGCCTCTACTTCTTCTGGTTCTTCATTTTCTATTCAATTGTATAGAAGACTATGAAGTGAGATCGTAGAACAGTAGAAAAATAAATGGAAATACTTCAGATTCTTGATAAAGTAACAGTCCTGTTCAAGCCAAAATTCTGTTACTCCCTTCTGGAAAATAATTTGTAAAAATTAAAGAAGGAAAAAAAAAAAGAAGGTTCAGTAAAGACTACATGGTCTATAAGTTATAATGTACAGAATTCTGTCTTCTCATCAGAGAGCTGAAGTGGAAAGACAGAATGAGTAATTCTGTAAGCTCAAAACCATGAAGCCTTGTACATGAAAGCATATTCCTTTAACACATCTTACCCAGCAAGTTTACCCTAACCATCAAAGAGAATATGAAAATTATTTCACAGTAAATTCAAGAACAAAGAACTAACATTTAAAAAATGTCTAAGTTAGAAGGAAAAATAAAAAAGAGCATTACCAACTCCCAGGGAACCTTCTACAGGTGAATTTCTAGCTGCTGTAGCTGCCAATACAAGTGGCCACTCAAAAAAAATTTGCCATTTTATGTACAGAAGTTTTTTTGCTAAGGAAGAAAATGTCTTGGTGAAAAGATACATCAAGTTCTCTAGCTTCCATCCTTCCTTATGTTGTCAATTGTCTAAGCCATGAGAACACGCACCATCTGGAAAGACTTCTGGAGATGAAAAGAAATAAAGAAATACTCCCCTCAATTTGGGAAAGAATAGGAAATCAAATAGAGATGAGGAACAAAATACAAATGTTCCAAGCTCTGTCTTTTATAGAAAACTGAATCAGGATAAGCACAAATAATATCTTCTTCTCAGCTCTTACTGATTTGGGGCTCATGATCTGCTGGGGTTTTCTTCCCCACTTTTGTACCGTAAAACTAAAGTAAACAAACTTGTGAATTCCTTGAGGGGAAAAAAAGTATTTTCTCTTGTATGTTCCAACTTAAAACTCCCACAGCATTCAGTGGGAAAGGGGGGATATATAAAGTGGGAAATAAAAACAAACCTGAAGTATTTTAATTAAGGAGCCCACAGAATAATTAGACAAAATATGTTTGGATAATAATTCATCTCCTAAGCAAAAAGTTATGATTGACACAATCATATTACATAACTTCTTCAGCTCACTTCATCTTCATAATTGGGAAATTGAGATCTTCAGTAGGAATCACTGAAAAATAATACAGTATAGAATGAAGAAGAGAATTTGAACAAGACACATTATTTATTCATAAATGAAGCCTTTTTTCAACTGCACAATTTTGAGTGTCTAATATCAATGTAAAAGTAACATGTGATGATGATTACAATTGAGAGCTGCACACTTTTAGAAACTGAATAAATACATCCATTAAAAGAGAGAAAAAAAGGCCCATTCTAAAATATCTTGCAAAACAGGAGATGAAATTACAGGTGGGAAAGACCCGTGGAAAGACTGATTTCAACTCAATACAGAACTAAGAAGAGCTGTTATTAGAGGAACAGCTTTTTAAGAGTGACATTTCAGACTGATGCAAGCACCCAGTGGGAGGAGGAAAAACCTTCTTAGCACCACCTGTGTTTGGGAGTGCCACCCCCCCTACCTGGCCATCCCATCACCCACAGGGATCTGTAGTCAAGCTATATGAGAGGTTGCTCAAGTCCCCTTCACGCAGTCCTAGAGTCTCTGCACTTTCAAACTGACAAGCACAGAAACAAGAACAGTTTTTAAAGTGACTTGTAAGTTACTAATTCACTCTACTTTATTACCTGCATTTCAGACAGTCACACCCCTCCCATCACAGATCCATACCAGAAGTTTCTCAATGGACCAGAAGCAGCTGAAGACAGACAAGTGTGAATATAAACCTATGCTGGGTGTTGCATTTGGCAGATTTAAAGGCAAGAGCAAGCATCAGTTTTCATGCAAAAAGGCTCCACCCACACCCTAAAACCAGATGATTTTAGCTTTTTGCTTGCTATTCTCGAGAAGTATATAGCAACCAAAAACTCAACAACAAGACTTTCCACAGAAGAATACCATTCATTTCCATTACATCTTTCCCAAGGGAGGGGAGCAGGGGAGAGAACCCAAGGGAACACACTTCCTCTCTCTCTTTTATGTGGGTGTGATGAGTCTCTTCCAAAATGACTCAGGGGCAACAAAGGAAAGATGCTTCTCCTCTTTCTCATGTCTGTTCATTGCAGATCTTCTGCAAGCAGAGATAAGAGCAAAGTCCCCTTCCAGTCACACCGGCAGAGCAGTATCAGTAGTACGGGAAGAAACTAATCCTGTCACCAATTTAGAGGCTTCTGTACACAAGTGGGGGCTCTTGCCACTGCTGTTGTCTGAATATGCAGCTCAGCCAGGGGTGATACATTTTGGAGCCAAATTGACTATCTTATTAAGAAAACAAGTAGCCAGAAAGCATAGTCAACAGTTTGCGGCACAAAAGTATTTTATTTACACACGGCAGACAAGATCAACCTGTCAAACAAGCTCAGTTCTTGCATTACCAGATGATGACAACTCACCGCAGGGCAGCTTGGAGGTCTGAAAACTTTATGCAAATGAAATGCCTGGAAACTCTTACTTCAGAGATATCCCATACTCCCATTGCTTTTTTCCTCATAACTCACCCATCACAGTTCAAGGAGGAAGAATTCTCTCTCATTCCCCATCTCTCCTGAACCTATACACTTGTGTTTTTTTCTTTCTTCCTTAATTTTGCTACTCCCTCAATTTTCTCTTATTGCCCAGAGCAACATTTTCCTCAAACACCTGAAAAAGGTCTTTCCACTCATCATTTCACAATGCAAGTTGAAGAAGACACAAAGGACAGCTGTGTTCTATTGCCAGAAGAAGGCACTTCCTGAGTAACTGAGTAATTTGGCAAGACAACTACAAATTTTTAAGTGCAGGGTACCAGTTTGTCTACACTCCCCTGCCCTACTTTGCACTGTCAATAAAGTCGCTACTTTCAAAAACATACTAGGGTTAAAGAAAGAGTTTCCATTAGAAATCACATAATTTAAAAGAGAATATAGGAAGAGCTGCTCCAAGATCAGAAGCAATAATCCTAGTTTTTCAAAATGCAAAGACGTAAATATCTTGAAAACTTGTGCTGTACATCGCAACAAATCTGACCAAAATTACACGAAGCACGATAAGAGAAGTGAGAGTGGCTATACCATGCTGAGAATATATTTAACGATAGCTAAAAGGGAAGATGTATGATGTGAAAATGGCTGAATAATGGTTAACAAGGATGACTAAACTGAACACGTGAAACAGAGCATCTTGTTGGACGCAGAGAAGTCTTCTGAGCAAACTGGCAAAAACGCATACGAGGTCTTATGAAAAAAAGAAATGGGAGAGACAAAGTAAACACTGCACTTGAAACGCAGCAGACAGGAACAAAGGAGCAAGCCCCAGGAGAAGGCAGCATCTTAGAAGACAGCACAGATAATGATGCTGCTTGAAAGCATGCAGAAGACAAAGTCTCTCGGAGAATCTGAGAACTATCACTCTACTACACAAACAAGACGATAATGGAGACCTGAGAAAGCACAGCATTTACAGACAATTGGTCTGTTGTCTACAAAGTTTTTACCAAAGTAAGTGAGGGCAAAAAAAATAAGTCCTCACTAAGGCAAAACTTTGTAAAGTCTGATTTAGTTGAAATACTTACCAATAACCTACTTGTTCCTGCAGAAATAGAGGTAGCAGTGGCAAAAAAAAAAAAAGGGGAAAACCAATCAATGACAAAAAAGTCAGAGTACGAAATAGAAAAGATTACATCTGGGAAGAATATATGTAAGTAAAAACTTAAATTAGTATGTGGGATGTTCCCAGGAGTGTATTTATTAATTCTAAACATAATAATGATTCATTTTTTGACAGCATTATTAAATTATATACCAAAAATACTTATCATTACATTTTTTACTCAGTATAACATAAAAATTTTATCTATTAAAAGTACAGTTTCAAGAAAGTCAAGGACAAATGTTTCAATGTATATTTGTTTTCTTGTGCTTTTCATCTCATTTTTTAATCACACATACCAGAATTTTTATTACCTAAGCACAACAGCACAATTTCCTGTATTATTATATTCTATATTTTCCCTCTAACTCTCCAAAATACCAGTCCTCTACAGGAGACACCAATTTCTTAATTCAGCAGGGAAACTTCTAACCTGTGGACTCATTTACTTTCATTCACTTGAAATTGGTGAGAGTAGAGTAGGTATGGTTGTTTCTTTGTTTATTTGGATTTGTTGGAGGGTTTTTTTTGTTTGGGTTGGGTTTTTCCCAGGGTAAAAGTATGGCTTATTAGAACTGAGCTTATTAGAAAAGTCCAGGCTGAAAAATACCATTCATCCTTAGCACAAAGGAATTTTGTTTCAGGATTAACTTTTTATTTAAAAGTACTGACGTCTCTGCTTATCATAAAGCGGCCTTTTGTTTTTAAATGGAAAATTCAACTAGGAGAATTTCACTCTGCGTTGACCCCCCTATTCTTCAAACGTGGAAAATATTTACCTTAGTGTATGGACTATTGCCGAAACTAGGGTGTTGGAATAAACCAGCCTTTTAACATAATTAAAGAGAATATTATAAAATGAGGAAAGGTCTAAGGGTTGGTTACAAAACACGTAATTTCAAAAGTGTACACTGGAATTATACCATTAAATCCCTCAGTATTAATGTAATTTAAGTGTTTAACATGAATTACATACAAATTTTGATAAAATGTGAGAGCAGTTTCTGGAGTTTGAATGACACACATTTATGTAATATAATTACTAGTTTTGCAAAAGTTCCTCTAAGACAGAACCTTTTAAGAACATTTGTGGATGTACCATCATGAAGAAAAGACACAAAATGCCTAATAAGAGGAACAGTAAAGAAGATGCATAATTAGTTCAGAAGAAGATAGAACTGAAGTGAGAGACACAATCCCCCAAACAAGTTTTCTTAACTACTGTCAATAAAAGCTGAAGAAAATCAAGCTATTGACTTACATGCTTTAAACATATAAATCATGACATATTTGTCTTTATTTTACTCTTTTACCTCTATTAAGCAAGTACATAGCACCCATACCATATTCTGCAAAATCTTCCAGAACATCCATAAATCACAAACCAACACAACTTTCAAATGACATGCTGCATCATTCCTACCACAGCAATTAAGTGGTAGGAATGTAATTACCAATGTAATTCTCACCTTTTCATGTGTAAGATGTCACTGTTTGAGCAAACTGTTAAGAAATATTTTCTGTATCACTCACGTTTTAAATAACCTTTGTAAAGAATGCTACTAAGCATTTTCTATTTTTTGCTGTTTACCACTGCTGCGTTGGTCTATCTGTCAAACTGTTGACAAATTTGATTAGTTACCTATTTTAAACATCTATGCTTAGAAGAGAAACATCTAGTTTACATTAACTAGATCATGCTAATAAGATGCGCACATGTATTGCATATACACACACACACAGAGCATAATAGACTGTAAATAAGTTTTAACAGGGATGTACAGTCGTAAAAAATTAGACTAAATGGTATTTTGACTTTTCAGCAGTATGAAAAATGACATCTTAAATGCTTTTACTTATCTAATTACAGATTTTATGTAAAATATTATATGCTTTCATTGCTTTACTCATCCATAAGGCTACTGAAGGTAAGAGAACCTGCAGCTATTTAAGAAGTATGTTTTGTTCTTCCCTGTTCAAACACAATCACGATTTGTTTTGTGATATACATATATATAAGAAATACTCATAAAAAAAAATGAGACACTGTCTCGAGTTTGAATACCGAGACAGCCTGCAACTGCAACGTGCTAATAAATTATATTTTAAGAAGAAAAGGTGTTGGGGTTTGTTTGGGTTTTGCGATTTTTGTTTTGGGTTTTTTAGTGACTATGATTGCTCCTATTTCAGGAATGTCCTTATTAAATCTGTATCACAGCATGCTACATGCTGCAAATGTTTGTGCACATATATGTATTAGTCCCTCCCCCAAAGAGCTTACACTCCAAAATAGACACGGAAAAGCAATGGTTACAATGGGAACAATGTCACCATTATATACTTTAGAAAGGCAGTAAGACTCGCCCTGCCTTACACAGAAAGTCAAACAATTCTCCTAAGTCTCTAGGTGTCACTTTATATAAAAATGCTTATTTGCCTACAATGACATTGAGAAAGGGGCACAGAAAAAGTAAATCATGACATAAATTTGCTCTGCTTTTCCACGTGGCACTGCCTTCTTAACCAGAGCCTTATCTAATGAGTTAGCAAGGCTCTACCACAGATCCCTAAATCCAGTGACTGTGCAGTTAAAACATCTATAATAAAATGCTCAATGAAAAGAGCATTCTGGGGTTTGAAGCATAAAGAATGCCAGAGTTTGAGCCTGCACTCCCCCCAACTTATTTATATGTTCATCCCTTCACCTTCTTAGCCCGCGTGCCAGGAGTATATACAACAATTCAGAGACTGACAGGATCAAAGCAGCAGCCAGAGGGCAAAGACCAATAAGTTGCATTTAAGTAAACCCTTACATGATATAAACAAAACAAAACAAACAAAAAAATACCCACACCAAAAGACTGTGGACTTCTAGAAAAAGACACAATCAAATGAAGGATGCACCCCAAATATGTACTATATACCTACTTCAGCAGTATTTTCTCTTACTTGAGAAAATAAAACTTCTATGATGCATGTTAAATAACCCAACACCTAACCCTCCTCAAACAATAAGGATTTAATTCTGTTTAGACTCCAGCTTTTTTAAAGTGCAAAGCACTCATTAAAAAATAATTTCTAAATCTTTATCACTTCATACATCTAAAGTCCTGAGATGACACTACTCAGGACTATTACTACTACTACTAACCAAATATCACAATTATTAGAGACACAGATTTGTATGTATTTTCCCATAGTAGTTTTTCATTCTAGGTTGAAAAAACCCTACAAATTTCCAAAATCTTCTGTGAAGAAAACTATCATTTTCAAAAGGCACTTGCAGTTAAGCTAACCATTGTCCAAACAAGAAAGATTTTATACTGCTAAGTATTTGGGGAATGGATTGTCACATTGTTACTTTTCACAAACCAGGTTTTAAGAATTAACAATTACCATAATTTATAGGCATTTCGTTGTTTCAAATTAGATCTCCTCCTTTATCTAAGAGGAACATTAGTCCCTCAAAAAGACTCCTGTTTCAGTAGACAGAAGATTTACTTTAACTGTCTTATAAAAGTCCCCATGATGCTCTTGAAGGATAAATCTCTCACACTTAAACCCCGTTACCAGTTTTCTAAGAAGGTTTTCTTATTTTGGAGTTTAGGAGAGGTCAAAGGAGCTCTTTCCCTCATGGACACCAGCTTAAAATCCCCTCAGAAGAAGCCCTCAGAAGGCAGGTAAGTCCACTGCACACAGATGAGTGCAGTAACAGCAACTGGGATAAATTTCACAGCATGACCACCAATAAAACAGCAAGATTAAGCCAGCTCTGGTGAAAAGACAGACCTGTTTCTGCTCTTCCAGAGTAAACTCTATCCGTATTAAAGAGTTCTGAGAAGTAAGCCATAGGCAAGTAAAGGACAGCCTCTGCCTCCAGGCTTTGATGTTTTATCTTTGCAACTTTTTTAAAACTTGCCTTTAACTATCATTTTCAAAAACACCTAATAAAAGCTTCTAAGGGAAGCCTGGCATTCCTGTTGGTCATCACAAAAGCACACTTTTCCTCCCTCTCTCAGAGGTCTTGCCATACCTGTCCTTTACAGCTGTTATATCAAATCAGATATTATTAAACTGGGAGATGTGTCAATAAGAGAAACCAACTTTTATGGTTTTTTTCTTTGAGATGAAGCAATACTCAATACAATTCCTGACTTTGGGCAACAAGAATGCCACTTAAATCACTAACTTATGTCTTTGCTTTCCAGAAGTGTGTAGACATTGTACCATTCATTCTATTAATCCTATAATCTACAACAACAGTTTCTGGTTTGGAAGACATCTTTTCAGGGCAGTGGGCAGGCTACAGAAAACTAACAGCTCCCTAATCCTTCAGGGAGTTCTTCCAGCTCTAGGTTGAAAAATGAGTGAATGCTGAACTTCTTTTGTGAACAAGAAGACTTCAGCCTGACACACTGTCTGTCAGGTACTTTGCAAAAATGTGGTGGGACAGATGAAATTCTGCTCCTGGTGTAAAACTAGTCCTTAGTTAAACTGTACTAAAAATGTCCAGAAGCTGGCCTAAAAGGGAAAAATAGATCCAGTTGTAAGGGTTATGTCATACACATAGGAATAACATTATTTTATACTGAGAATACATTTTTGGGTAGAAGTCAACATAAACATGAAAATTGTCCTTCTTCACTATTGTGTAAGTAGGACAATTTTTATTGACACATTCAAAACAATACTGAAAATTAAGCTCTTAATTAAGGAACTGTGTTCACAGCACTTAACATCTACACAATGACTTACAGAAGAAAAATAAAAACTTCAACTCATTACCCAGGTTTCTACCTGCAACAAAATTCATACAGGTTGCACTAAAACTTGAGACAGACTGCTCTTGTTACACTTTCACCCTCTAGAATGATACAGTGACAGCTTCAAGGGGAAAAGCCAAATCAAATGTTTCAGACATATTTGTGTCAATGCAGCAT